AGGGGGGGGGGTCCAAATTTCTACTCCTAAACACTTTAACACTCCTTTCAGATCGTGTTTAACAATAGTTGTCATTGTCCATAGAGTTCTACAAAAATAAAGTTTGCATGATAATGTTAATAAATTTATTCAAACTTTCTAGAAAAAATGTTCGAAAACTAATTTTTTTCTGGTTCAGAATAGCATGTTGAGAGAATTATTTTCGTTTTATGATTCATAGTTCTTCATCGCTAATCATCGCTATCACTATCAAACCCACTCATCAACTGTTTCATATTGAATGGTTGCCCGCAAGTAAATAATTTCGATGTAGCAAAACCTTGTTCATTCGAAGCCGAAAAACTTGACGTATCATCTTTACCATGGAAACTATCTAAATAAAAATTATTATCATTGGCATTCTCGTTTCTCGAAACTAATTAGATTCTCTTGACTTACTTTTCTCTGTGTACGCATGTTTATTATGTTTAACTCCAAAACTTCCTGTCTTAAGTTTGGCTAACTCAGATGGATCGGATTTTTCTTTTTCATGTGAAGTTTTGAACATTTTTTCAAAACCATTACCTATAATGTTTCCTGTTATTGTTGTTGTTTCTTCTGTTGAAGTATATGAGTGTGATTTATGATATGACATGTTGTTTTCCAACACTGATTGACCTTGTTGATCATCATTTTCGCCGCTTTTCTCCTCCATGTCGATTTCTGTAATAATATCACCGTTGTTGGTTACCTTTCGGATATCTTTTACTTTGAATGTAGCATAAGGCAATATCAAGACTTCTTTCTCATGTGAAAATTCCGAAAGAGTTTGAATATCGAGTGCTGTGCCAGTATTCTTAATCAAATATTTACATACAACTCGCACAACCTTAGATGAACCAAGGGGTTCGGTGAACACTTCTATCTGGTCTCGTTCTTTCGATGTGCTTTGAAATGTCTTATTCATGAACAAAGCGTTGACAATGTATTTTTTGAGCTCTTCTGACGGCATCGTCATTCCACGATATGTTTGGCCTGTAAACGACAAACGTTGAAGCGCAGGATGAAAAATCATAATCGATGCAAGATTTCGTTCGTGCTTGGTTCCAGACCAATGAGTAGGCAGCTGAGAAAGATCCTTGTTAACTCGACGATAAAAGCCGGTTTCTGCTGTATAAGCACGTATAACTAGTTTTGGATCATTAGTTTTAATTGCATCATCGATGAATTCGCGAACTACATCAATATTTTTTTCATTAGCCAATGGACCATTCTCATTGATGTAATATTGGCGAATACCCTGACATAAACGATTAAATTCTTCGTCTGTTCGACAACTCAAGAGACTTTTACGATTAAACGAAGCGTAGACCGATGGATCTTTGTCAATGAAAATCCATTCCATTGTAGAACTTTTCTCAGCTGTAAATCTGTTGTTTGATTCGGCTCCACCTTCAGATACACGCATGAATAAGTTCTTTACTTCAGTAGTCTTTGCCTCCTCGAATGGTATATTGCCATGAATATTTTTAATCATACGTTTTGCACCTCTTGTTAGTAGCATCCGAACTATTTCACGATTACCATAGAAAGCAGCAGCATGCAAAGCCGTGGAACCGTTAGATTCGATTTTATTAATATCTCGAAGTGTAAGTTTCGGTAATAATTTTGCTACTGTGGCCACATCATTATTTCGACAAGCCGTATAAAAGTTGCTTGGTTTTGTTGCAGACATAATCTCGCTGATAACACTTTGTATGATAAAACAGAAAAAAACAGAATAAATGCTTAACACATTCAACCCGATGAGATCCACCGGTGGGTCTCACTATATTTTAATAGGAAACTTAGTAGAAAAACACTTTCTTTTCCTGTTTTGTTAGCCGAGAGATTACACGTCATGTGTCATCTGCTCTGCCTTCGCTGTTGTTGAAATCATTTATTGCATAGTGTATTACTTCTCGTTAAAACAACCAAGACAAAAACAATTGTCACAATCAGAACAGAAAGTTTTTATTTTCTTTGCTGTCGCATGACTTGCTTCCCATGATTGTTGTTGCCTGATTTGTTCATAGCAGCCAGCATAACGCCTTCAGACAGTGCGCACAGATTGCAACGAAGGGAAACAAGGTAGTGATTTATCAGACCAGCTATCAGTGTATTACATATGTCTCAGACCGTGAACAAAATAGTACCGAAAGGTGATATCTGAACTGATTTTTCGGAGGGCAATAGTTCATAGCTATTTGATATACAAGGAAAACTATCCTACAAGCGAAGTGACCATTCTGTAGTTTCAGGAAAACTCTTGTACGATCTTTATTGCTTGGTATGCCATTCGAGAAGTTGAAACTTGGTCCTGGACAAGAATTAGAAACCCATCCGAAGCGTAACGTTGCTGACCAGAAGCTCGAACAAAAGAAAGGATCTGCGCGCACTATTCGAAGGCGTTGTTCTGGCTGCTATGAACAAATCAGGCAACAACACTCATGGGAAGCAAGTCATGCGACAGCAAAGAAAATAGAAACTTTCTGTTCTGATTGTGACAATTGTTTTTGTTTTGACTGTTTTAACGAGAAGTAATACACTATGCAATAAATGATTTCAACAACACCGAAAGCGGAGCATATGACACATGACGTGTAATCTCTCGCCTAAGAAAACAGGAAAAGAAAATGTTTTTCTGTTAATTTTCTGATTAAAACAAGGTAGCGCGACGAGGACGTCGCTGACCCTCTACTGAAAGGATGTGGTACCGCAGAGTTTAAGGTGTTTCGGTAGGGAAATACAATAATTATTACGTTCATAGCCATACGAGATGAAGACCATTCAAAGCACTTCGATCCTATTTTCGAATTGAGTGTATTACAGTGTTTCGACGAAAAAGAGTTTCGAGTTTTCAAAACTTTTTGCGCGAGAGAAATTTTGAAGACTTTTATATACGAAGATAACAAAAAAGGATCGCCAATACTGAACTACAAATAGTTTCCTGCTTTGAGCCATACTATAATCTTGCATAGGGTTTTATCCTTGCCACTTGATATTGTAGTTAAGCAGGCAATAAAATCCTTCGCATATAAGGTGAAGTTTCTATCGTACTTCTTAAGTCTATGTTTCACGAGAAAGAGTAAAAGACATTAATAAAGAAATGTAATAGCTTGTAAAGGAGGAACAAGTAGTTCACATGACTCAGCCTATGACGTCAAACCATCTTTCTCTTCTCCAGAACAACAAATTAACATTCTGTCGATGGGAAACTGTTTCAGGAGAAAAAGGTGTAACCATCAACAGTAGAGCTCGATGACTCAATAAATTAGATTTCACAGCAACAAAAAACGCTCGAAAATATCTTTTTAATGATCATTTAGCAAACAGGCGTTCTACAATTGACCTTAATTCTTTGTAAACTGTAAACAATGACACATTACCTACAACATTATTTCTTCCGACTTGTTTCGAGATTTTCTCACTCAGCTATAAATAATTTTTATGTGAATAGTCGATTGTAATAAAAACCTTATAAATACATTAATATACAAAACAAAGCTACTCGCAGTAGACAGTTCTCAACTTTACATCACATAAGCAAATACGCATTCACTAGCGTATTACAGAGCTTCAAGATAATGCCACACATTTTACTATTCATGCGCGCTAAACTTCATCTCTAATCAAGATATCGACAATTTACATCCTTAGATTAAGTTGTTTCCAATTCTAGTTTACATAATTGAGCGCCACGTTTATTAAAATGACTCAGCACTACACGAACTAAATCCGAAGCAGCATTGAAATCTGATATTTTCTGAGAAAAGTCATAAACAATTGGAACATGCTGCATTTATCACGCTTCCCACGAAAACATTGCCGGATCTTCCATATAATACCTAATATTTCAAGCTCACCTCAGATGATTTGCAAAGCAAATATTTCAACCGTTCTACAAATTTTTAGCGCAAACAGACGAGATAGGGAGAGCTTTCCCGCGAAAAAACCAATACGGAACTTTAACAAACTACTGCTGGGTCTTAATTGTTCGACCTCCATACATTCAGCCAAGCTTTCAAGAGAGTTGAGTTTTTTAAAACAACTGCTCTTTTTATCAAAAAACTAATCCAAAAACTGAAATTCTTCACTCCAAGAGTCTTTGACGAAACTCCATTAGAACGAAACAGTTTTCTCAGAAAATAGTGCTCTTTTTACAAAAGAAAATGAGTAAAACGCTCAAAATAGAAGCATAATTGAGATCTTCCAATCTGTAATCAAGCTTCATAGTACACAGTCAAATCAATCATCCTGGTGGTACTATGATTGAACGCACATATGAACGCATATCTTTCAGTCCTTGTGTAATTCTCATTTCAGCAGAGAAGACTCTTTACCTCTGATGATCCTTCCAAAACTAACTGTTGAGGCATCGATAATTCCGCAAACTATTACGTTTGAAATTTCGAAACATTTCATCCGTTGATTGTCCACTCAACAGAACTTCATAAATTGACTTTAGAAAAAAGCTTCATTCCCAAATAAGTCATACTACGAGCCTAAACCAGAAGTATTCGGATCGGTAAAAGATATGATTCGTGTTAATACTGAGCCTCAGAATTTCACTAGCGCCTAGTCGGAACGTGAAATTTTATGATTGATCCAAATGGCCACTCTCGAAATTTCATTGGCACATAGCCCAACCATGAAAACCTATTATCGGTCCAAATGGCCACTCTCGATATCTCATTGATGCATAGACAAACCATGAAAACCTATGATTGGTCCGAATGGCCGCCCTCGAAATCTCATTGGTGCATAGCCAGGCCTTGGAAACTTATGATTAGTCGAAATGACTTCTCCCGGAATTTCATTGGTGCATTGACAAACCACGAAATCCTACGGTTGGCTGAAAATCTGTTACCTGAAATCTGATTGGTTGGGGGAAGGGGGGTCGGAACTATCGACTAATTCAATCGCTAACATTAAGTTTTGTTTTAAGATCGATGTTGTTATAGCTCAAAAAAAAAAATTTCCGTTCTGTGCGAACAAACGAACGAAGTTACGAACATACGAACCTTGCTCGGTGTATGACCCTCCTTCCAGTAGAGGGAATATAGTGAGATCCATCGGTGGGTCTCATTGGGTTGAATGTGTTAATGTCGACTTTCAGAGATATTTTATTTGTGTTCATCTTGATTGGTTCTCAAGAATGACCTACTCATCGAAAATGTTGTATGAATAGTCATAGAATTCTTAATTACATTAGCGCTTAGTGGCAATTATTGGGCTAAGGTACAGAAATAGTACGACTCTAATGAGATAATTCTGACAAGTGAAAAGCCATATTCACCAACAAATATGACAACAAAAAACCGAACATCTTCTATCGTAGGCATGAATTTTTTTATGTGTATAAAAATTACACGGGTTATCAAGTCTTGAATTGAACAAGAGATCTATAGAGTAACCTCAACTTGTAAACTATTCAACCAATTGGGATTTAGTAATTAGAAGCTACAAAGTTCGATTTATATTACCTTTAATATTCGAAGCAGTATTTGTCGTGTTGTCGGAGGTGATAATCTATGGAAAAAATAATTTCTTGTATTGTATTTCTTTTCTTTTGACTATAGATTGCACAAATGACAAAACGGCAGTAGCACTCTTTATTTATTTTTATAAAGAAAGTAGTAACATGCAAAAATTTTTCACTAGGAAACGATGTTATTGAAAACACTCCCATGTGTCTCAAGAATCACAAGCAGGACATTTAAATCAACTTTTATTTTTATGACAACATTACAAATTTTTAACGCAAAATAAAAAAAACTTTTTGTGTTCTCTGAAAGTTTAATTGTCACCAAAACTGAAGAATGAATTTCATAGATTTCGGAGTAAATGCTTACATAGGTTTTTCATTTCTCAATCTATCAGATACTACAAATTCTATCGTTCTGTATAACGATTTCAGCTTTAACTAATTAATAAACGACTGATCATTGAACATAGTTTTGTAAGATTGATCCTCGTTGGATAATTTTATATTAAACATGTTTTGCGTCGCATAGACTTTGTAGAAACAAGAATGCATCGATACTCGTGTTTTTATTATTGTGTGTTTGCAATTTGATTTTTAAGTAAACATCAAGCTTCAATAGTGACTTTCACTTGCTATGGAGATGTGTAATAAGAGAGAAGACAGAACAATGCATGTTTTTGCTACTATCAACGTTCTCTTCCTTTTTTGCGAGCATAGAAGAATGCGCTTCATGGTTAAGAAAAGAAAATTGAATCAATGAATGTTTAGGAGCATGTCATGAGATTGAGGGTATATTATGAGTCATGAGTCATCTATAGGGAATAGAACATAAATCTAACAACATCAGAATATTTTTTCTTGCTGAAATCACTTCTACTTCAATCCAAAACCAACTAGTATTTCATAGCAATCACAAAAGTTTTAGGAGACAGTTCATATAAGCCACGACCGACTTCATAGAGACGCTGCTCAATTGATGTCCTCAGATTTTTCCAAGGGGGAAACTACTGATTCAACTCAGATGAAACTCAAAATAAATCACTCAAACTCAAAATAAATCACCAAACTCAGCTGAACTCATTTTAAATCAGATAAATCACCGAAACTCATATTAGATCACTAAACTCAGCTAAACTCATTTTAAA